ATTGACAGCTGTGAAAATAGGATATCCACTGACCAGTATCACATGACCATATTGCAGGCTCAGGTGTCGACCCATTTGAGGTCAAGTTTTTTCTGAAGTTATCCACTGACAAGTTACTAGTTTCTAACTGATCGCAGGCTCAACTCCAAGTGGATTTCTTTGCAATGGGTACAAGTTTATAGTTTGAAGTGTAGAAATTTATTAATGGGAGCTCTGCCTTAGCTCTAGTTGATACCTTGAGGAAACCTTAATAATTCTAGACTGCAAGTGAGTATCCTTCTTTACTCAGAGTCACATGCTGTGCTGCTTGCCCCTCACCCATGCTCTTGATCTACTTTGTCGTAAACAAAAAAAGAAGAGACTGCTCACAGTCTAAAATGGCTCCAATGTTTAGAACTACATTTACATGTTTATTGTTATTCAATGTACTGTTAGTACTAATTTGTTACACCCTTATCTGATCTTCTGTTAGGCAGTAGCAGGACTTATAGCTGATGCAAGACAGGTACATTATTAACAATTATTTAAATACACTCAAGTTACTCTCATGAAATGAAAAGATTTGTTGTCGTCAACTTGATAGGGCGTACACAATCCTATTTTACACTTTCTTGTCATTTTTGTAGACTCACTGTTTATAATGTCCCTTTTCATCTTTTTGTTTCCAAGTGGCAATCTGCAGTACATGTATGTGCTTTTGCTTTGCACCTTTTCGATACGATACAAGTTAGTTTTCACAAGTGAAAATTGTGCCTTATTAATAATCAACTTTATTGTTAAATAATTACGTAATAATTGAATGCATCTGTGTGAGAACTTCAATACCAAAAAGTAGTAATTTAACTGGAAAGTGCTGCAAAGAACAAAAGAACAATATTGTTTGGGAGGGGGGGTGGGGGCTGCTTTTCTCCTTGGAGAGGGGGAAGCTGTTAGTGCTAATTTTGAAATGGTTGGATTTTTGCATACTTTATTTCTGGGAACTGAGACACAAACTGAGGCAGAAATGTTTACAACAGTGTTTCTGTAGGAAAGGAGAAACCAACTTGTGTAATTGTGTAATGGCAGTACTTTCCAAAAAAATAACATTTTGTAGTATAGTGATGTTCTTGCACGGAGGTGTTCAATCATGTGGTGGCTCATTTCATATTAATTTTAAATTTTATTATATAAAGATTGTAAGTGTGGCGAGAGATGAAGCAGCCAACTACAGATCAACATATGGATCTCCAATCCCCCTGAAAGTAAGTTTTCAAAGTATTTACTTTAGAATTAAGGACTCAAAATCTCTGAAACAAAATGCAATCAAACTGGGATAATTTTCCTTTAGGTTGTGCATCTGTATGTAAAGGGCAAATAAATCTGGTTCCATAAATGTTCTGGATTTGTCACTAATCTGGAAAAATCTCCTATAGTGTAAGCATAGCCTTAAATACATTTAGAAAGGATACGACAAGAAAAGCCTCTTTCTTTCTCACTTAAAACTTTGACTTCAGTGGTCAGAGAGCAACCAAAACTGGGGGCTTGTGAAATACCTGAATGGGCTAGTATTAATTTTACTATAGGCACTGTCAAGTTACAAGCTGGCATTGATGCAAAGTTTGTATCTGTACATGCGCCTAGCCTGTGAAAACAGCCGTTTCTCCTTGCTCCTTGCTGCTAGGGACCTTTCACCATTAGGAACGTCTACACCTCAGTGACAGAAATTCCATAATGATGACGTAAAATTTGTCCAGAGTCTGGTCAGGAGCTCTGAGTGGTTGATGTTGTATATTGTTTTAGCTATTGTTTATTAACGACAGATAAAAGATAAAAGGCCACAAAGCTCAAATGTAAATGCAATGAATCTACTACAAAACAGTCAATATTCACGGAATATATTCGTCTTTAGAAGAAGCATTTGAGTTTTGTTGGAGCTCCTTTGCAAAAGAACACAAAACTTTACCATAATCGGGTAGGAGAAACATAAAATTGAACAAAGTTACATTTGGAACCCCATGACATCAGTATTGAATTTCTGTCGCTGAGGCACAGATGTCTCTCCTGGCAAAATGTTCCTAGTGGCGAGGAGCGGGGCAAGATGGCTGTTTTCGCAGGCTAACATGTACCAAAATGTTAATTCTCAACAAGATTGGAACTTAAACTTTGCAGACCTTGGTGCTAATAAACTGAAACAACTTCTTGCCCTTTAAGGCCATGGGAGAAACCTATCTATGGATAAATTCATAAAGCAAAAGTTTGCTTGTGCAACATCTTTTAAAAGGCTTGTATCTTGGCTGTTTTAGAGGCGATTTAGATAAACTTTTACAGAGACATTGTGTTATGATGGAAGTTTAGGAGGGTTGTTTTTTATTTGGTAGATAGTGCTTTTTGGCAATGCTTTAAGCCACAGTTGTACCAAACTGGGAATTCGTGATTTTGTGTCCAAGTTTGCGGAAAGAATAAAAGACTGCACTCTGTGATTTTATTAATAAACGATCGATCAAAACCTCTAGTGTGTTATGTATAGAGCAGATTTTACAATTTTAAGTTTGCCAGTAAGATAATAATTATAATTGTTTAAATTATGAGAAAAATCTGTCATCCCTGAAAGGAAAGCCTTATATCTTTTCATAAAAGCGCTCTTTTAGAATTCCGCTCTGCAGTGCCAGCTCGTGAAGTTTTGTATCTGCGCTGAATTCTTGGAAACAAAATTGTCAGAAGGTCAAATTTTGAGACTCCCAAAACTGTACCGACTAAAGCATAGTTCCAAGCAAGATATTTATTATATAGTTATTATGGTTAATTACATTCCACGCTTTAATTTTGTTTATAAGCTGCAATGTTTTCAAGGATATTTGAGGTGAAAAATAAATGTACATCGAGTTTTGGTATTAAATTTGGTTGAAACTTCTAATTCTAAACAGTACCTTATTTTTATTGATTTAAAAATCCCTGAAACAAGGTGTACTACTATTCAGAGGCCGTTCATTACTTTTGTATAAACATTGTGTTTGCAGTCTCTGTGCCACACAATTACACGCAAACACTTAGAATTATGCGCTCATCTTTCATCTACATATATATGAATATCTTGTAAACCTGTCGATATCAGTCATTGTATGTACTTTGTGCAAAAACTTTAAATAAATGCATAACAATGAGCCCAAGGTGTCCCACGCAACCTTAAATAGTAGTTTATTTTGTTTTCATCATGCAATTTTATGTTGTTCTTCACAGTATCTTGTCGATAGAGTTTCTGGTTATATTCATGCTCACACATTGTACAGTGCAGTCAGACCATTTGGTTGTAGGTGAGTCTTGGGTCTAAAAAGTTCAGCAAAATCTCTCTGAAGGAACCCACAGGAATCAGCATTATTTATTAATTAAAGTTCTGCTTGTACATGTAATGTCAATACGTAATCAATAGTAATTATAACAGAACTCTTGAGAAACTAGGATCTGATCAGTGAAGAGGAATTCTATATTTGCTTAGTTACCCAGATCTCACTCCATTCCTGTTTCTTTGTGTAACTCTGGGTTTGCATTTGCAGTGTGCTGTTGAGTTCCCATGGCCCAGATGGTCCTGAATTACACATGATAGATCCTTCAGGAGTGTCGTGGGTGAGAATAATAATGTTCACATTAAGTTTAGTTTGTGCTGTACATAATAATTATATAGTGTGTAATCTATAGTAAACTCATTGTTAAAAGAATCTGTTACAGTGATTTTTATTACTGTTAATTCTCGTTTAAGCCCTCCCTTCTCTAATAAGCCTGCCACCGCTTTCAGGGGAAGAACATTATTAAGAACCTCCTCCCCGCTTTATCCTTAAAATTTGTGATAGACTGTAAATTTAAATTAATTAATCATGACTGTAACGCTTCATGTGGACTGATCCAGGATGTTAATTCACTTGCTGGAAGTTCAGCATGACCTCCAACCTCATATGCTTTAGTTTTTTCACTTTGCATCCTTGACTAGTTCTTTAGGGAGAATTATTGATACCATAATCCTAACTAAATCAAATAAGCCCCCTTTCTATTAAGCCCCATCGAACATGCTTGAAATAAATAAGTCCCAAGGAGGCTTATGTAAGAAATGTAGTTCTTTCACCTGGCTTTTAAAAAAATGTCCAGACTTTTGTATGTAATGTTAAATTCTTTCCAGTAGCATTACCCAGGACATTTTCCTCAGCTCTGTGTAAAAATTTATTCTTTTTTGACGAATATCAATGCCTACATGTAAAAGTCTGATTTATGAGCAAAGTAGAGGAAACAAATTCTGAAGAAACCCTTTCGTTTTTGAAATAATTTATGTCAACAATAGAATGCTACAACAAAGCTACATTGTACTTAATTTCTTGAGTTGTAGGAATGGTACTGGCTTGACACTTGGCCTTTTTTTTCTGTAGAGCAAAGTGAATATCACAGAGAAAATATCTAGTCAATGTTTGAATGCTCTCAGGATTTCAATTACTACAAATCCTCTATTTATTTCAAGGCCATTTGAGGGGGGGGGGGGGTTAATAGAGACAGGAGGCTTATTTAAGAGGGGGAAGAGGGGGTTATTAATAATTTAGAGAAGACGCTGGTATCTATTCTTCATAAAGAACTAGAATACAAAGTGGAGAAGCTCGAGAACAAGAAGGTTGGAGGTCATGCGGCTAAGGATCAGAATCAAATCTGAACTTCCAGTTAGTAAATAAACCATCCCAGATCAGTCCACACAAAGTTTTACAGTCGTGATTGATTAATACAGTCTCTCATTTATTAGTGAAGAATAATTAGGGGAGGGAAGTGGGAGCTTAAAAGAGAGGTGGGAGGCTTATTAGGGGAAGAGGGCTTATTTGAGTAGGGGGGGGGGGTGGTGCTTAATAGAGGATTTACGGTATACTGGGTACTTCTTTTTCTCAAATTCTCTCAAAGCATTATTTCTCAGTGAGAACCTTGTCTCATAACTTTTACTAAGGATATTTTTTGTAGTTTAAGTTATTCTTGTTGTTTTCTTTTTTTATGCAGGGGTACCATGGTTGTGCTATAGGGAAGGCAAAGCAAGCTGCAAAAACAGAAATAGAGAAGTTAAAGGTACTATTAGATGGTGATCATCAACCTGTTTATGACAAGTTCATCATGATACGAAATCTTTGCTATCACACTTCTTAGCATAATTTTCCTGCTGTTGTTGTTTTCCTACACAGATGAAAGATATGACATGTCAAGAACTTGTTAAAGAAGTGGCCAAAATGTAGGTTTTGAGGTTTTGAATCAGTTATACAATAGTCTCAAATGCAGTTCATTGCCTCGACACTCAATCCTCCCCAAAGACCGTCTGCTGAAACGAGCGGTTAAAAACATAGACCAATCACCGAAAACTTGCAGATCTGGGAAGTGTGCTTAGGACCTTGCAAAATTTAGCACAGGAGTCCAGAAAAGGTCAGAAAAGTCAGAAAAGGTCGAAAGGAAACGTCCTACATTTCTTAGAACAAACGCTTCAATCAAATTATTTGATGAGAATAACACGCCTGTGTTAGAGACTACCCCCAAAATCTCATAGAAAAAATTACCCCTGAGGTTATTAAACTATACTGAACAGAAGTTGGCTTTACTAAAAAATGGTTTTTTGTTACAACATAACACCCTGCCATTGCCTAATCTTAAGAACATTTCAATGAGAAAATTGCATCTACTTTACCAAGAGAAAGATACAAAGGGCCTATGTTTATATTAAAAATTCAAAGAGAAAAATTTAAACCCAAAAGGTCACGTATCACACTATCTGAGCTTGTGAGTCGCCTTTTGCCTGTCTACACGTGATTTTTTTTCTTAGGATTGGTGTTTTATTAACAGGGTTCGCACAGTCTTGAAAAGTCCTTGAATTTTAGGGGAAGTCCTTGAAAAGTCCTTGAATTCCATTTTTCCTTGAAAAGTCCTTAAATTTCTGTGCAAGTCCTTGAAAAGAGCTTGAATTTTCTTCAACTTTGAATGTAGTAGCCTGGAAAGAATTTTTTGATGCTTTTTGGTTGTCAAAGACAGAATATAAATCGTAGCTCAGTGAATGTAAAGGTCATTTACATAAAGTGCTCCATGTTTTATGCAATAATTAACTATCAGTTTCAGACAAGTGAACTGAAAAATGTAGAGGATTTGGTGAAGCAAACAGTTAAAGCCTTAAAGTCTTATTAGAATATACAGGGAATATGCATTTTTGTACAATCTGTGAAATTATATTCCTAGTAGGTTGTCCTTGAAAATCTAATGTGGTCCTTGAAAAGTCCTGGAAAAGTCCTTGAAAAATGGTTGCAATTTTTTGTATGAACCCTGATTAAACAATCAGTGATTTAGATNAAAAGTCCTTGAATTCCATTTTTCCTTGAAAAGTCCTTAAATTTCTGTGCAAGTCCTTGAAAAGAGCTTGAATTTTCTTCAACTTTGAATGTAGTAGCCTGGAAAGAATTTTTTGATGCTTTTTGGTTGTCAAAGACAGAATATAAATCGTAGCTCAGTGAATGTAAAGGTCATTTACATAAAGTGCTCCATGTTTTATGCAATAATTAACTATCAGTTTCAGACAAGTGAACTGAAAAATGTAGAGGATTTGGTGAAGCAAACAGTTAAAGCCTTAAAGTCTTATTAGAATATACAGGGAATATGCATTTTTGTACAATCTGTGAAATTATATTCCTAGTAGGTTGTCCTTGAAAATCTAATGTGGTCCTTGAAAAGTCCTGGAAAAGTCCTTGAAAAATGGTTGCAATTTTTTGTATGAACCCTGATTAAACAATCAGTGATTTAGATAAATTGCACATGATCTCAGGGAAAGGAAGTTTAAAACTGCTTGTTATAGCAGACTTTCATGGGGAAGGAATGTGTGAAGAAGCCCCTGCATGGGAGCTATCGCAACAAGCTCTTTTTCAGTTTTATGGTTAGTCACTTGTATGTGGCTAACAAGGAAATCTCGTCACGATAGAGAGATTAAGATTCATGTTTATGCCAAATGGCAAATGTGAATTTGTACAACGTCACCAAGTTTTCCCCTTATTTTTCGTTTACTGTTTATTGCTTCTACACAAAAATAAGTTGTTTCACGCCAGTTTTATCCAAAAGAATCGTTCTGGACAGTTTTTATCTGCTTATTTTCTATTCTGAGAATTTCTCAACTTGAATTGATTCACATTTACTTTGCCGTAAACGTGAATCTTAATCTCTCTGATAAGTAGTGCACCAAGAGACCCAAACTGTCACCATTCATAAATAAATAACTACCGATCTAGAGGAAGCACTTCCACATGGTGGTTCTTCATCTGTCATTCCTGGTGGAATTGGAAGTTGGAAATGTTGGTTTTTGAGGAGAGGGGGGAGAGAACCAACTACAAACTTGGCCCACGTGACGTTGATGCCAGGATTTGAAACCTGGGTCACTTTGGTGGAAGGTGAATGCTCTCACCACTGTGCAATCCCTTACTCCCCAATCCCATTCATTCTTTCAGTCTTGGAAGAAAAAGAGCTTTGGTTTAACCTGGACTAGCTGCCTTAAGTTATTCCACCAAAACTATTAAAGCTGCCAGAGCTCCCATCCCGCTCTTCATATCAGTTTACTATTATATACTTGTTCTGCCTGACAGACCAGCTTAGCTTAGGAATTTTTTTAACAATATTGCTTGTTGTGGTCTGCAGAATTTATGTTGTACATGATGAAGTTAAGGACAAAAACTTTGAACTGGAATTAAGCTGGATAGGAGAAGGTACGGAGCGTTTAGCATGTCTTCTTACGATCAAACCACAGTTCTTGTAATGTTCTTATGTGCTATGTTTACAATTTAATAAATTATTGCAAATGGAGAGGCCTCTCATTAATCAAGCAGTCTCTGTTATGTTATTTTGCTGTTGCAAGAGTAATAAAAATTAATGACCTGTCATTAATGTGTGACTGAAAGCTCGATGAATCAGATCAAGACGTGGGTCAGAGTTAGTAACAGATTGAATTAGAGTATTTTTGTGAACAAAAATAATTTATTACAACTGGTCAACTTATTTAATTAGCCTTAAGTGTTAACATTAAATATCCCATAACAAATGGCTTAGTGCATAGAATTGACCAAAGACAACTTTTTGCAGTTACAAATGGCAAACATCAGTGGGTACCAAAAGACATTGCAGATGCAGCTGAAAAATACGCAAAGGTGAGTTTCATAGGTTGTCAGTTTTTCTATGCCACTTCCACATTTCCCATAATGCACCTTACTTGCCCCCCCTACAATTTTGCATAACCTTTGTTTTTGATTTCTCCTGGGTATTACAGACGTCCCAGGAGAAATTGAGAACAATGCTTATGCAAATTTTTTTTTTTTTTGGGCGGGGGGGGCAAATAAGGTGCATTATGGGAGATGTGGTAGTGGCATATGTCATGATTTACTAAAATGTTTATGTATCCCCAGTTGCCGTCACTAAAAGGGCCTCTCCTTGTGCATTAAATTTAGCTAAAGGCTACTGTATGTTCACACTGTGACAGATAGCCCTTGCCCTGACACGGAAACCCCCGGGTTACTCCCGACAATGGCCTATGAGGAGAGGCTCCACCTGAAAGGGGTACTTTTTTTAGGCTTCAGGTATATGAAAGGCTACAGAATTCAGTTGTTGAAGTATATGAAAGGGTAGGGAAATCTGTCATTGCTGTCTGTAAAAAGTGCAGTTGGGGATAGCTTAGTGCACGAGCACCAACCTCCAGTCTGGCCGGAGTGCATTGTTTTCTTGGAAGCATTGGTTTGCCAAGCAGGCCTTCACTCTTACAGGCAATAGTAGTATAGAAATGGTCGAAGCTTTGATCAGTGCAAATTTTTGTGAGCATCTCCTTTGTTTAGATTTGCCAGGCATTGTCCAATGACAGCAGCCATCTTGGTACCCTGAACATCCTTAGGTTGATTATTGGTGTGGGAATAAAGGTTCTCTCCAAGATGCAAACCAAAGGAAAAGTCAAATCGCTCCTTTTAGGTGTTATATCTTTTAGGAGCCAACCACCCCCACCTCTCCTCCTCATCTGAAATTCCATTGATTCTCTGTGGGGTGACTATTCGCTACTTCAGAAAAGAGAGGAAACTGGACGGAGTTAACTTTCTTAAAGTCTTCTAGGACTGTTACTGGGTTGGCATTAGGTAACATCAGCTGAAGTCAGATTGTTTCTTTCAGTAAAATTACAAGAAGAACAACTTAAGTCCAACTTTACTGTGTAATATAAAAAAAAATTGAAAAACTCCACTGTGATGCTTTGAACCTGGCGCGATGGGTCACTTGCTTTATAGCCTACATCCATATCCACTACACCATCGAGGACTAACTGCCAAATCCAATAATTTTTAAAATTAATATACATGTTCTTTATATGCCGTACCCCATTACAATATTTGAAAGCTAACCGTTTTCAGTTCAGTGCTTAACCCTAATCACTGCAGATCAGTACTTAACTCTCTACTGTGTTCTCTCCATAACTAGCGCTCTGTAGTTTTAGTTTCTTCAGCTATTCTAGCCTCATTCTACATTCCAGTCTCGTTCCGTAATGAAAATAATGCGTTGTGTAAAATTCATAAGGTGTCCAATCTGACTTCACTTGATGTTATCTAATGCTAACCCTGTCACTGGGGACAGGGGAAATAATTGGCTCACAGTGA